GTGCCCTAATTCTATAGATAACCCAGTAGGGTTCTCATACTTACCGGGTTACCTTAGGGGAGGTGTAGATTTACCTCTCTAATCTTTCTATGTCCCACACATTTTCAGATTAGGCTTCGGATACCTTCCGCAGCAGCCGAAACCGATACTAGTAGTCAGGGCAAACTATTAAACCGCACAATTCCAGTACCTGTGCCCTTACAAGGTTCGTTCCAATCCCGATACCCGCATCAAACCAGTTCTTTTCACCAATCCCTCCCCAACTACCAAACCAGTTAGCCCAGATGGGTCATTGTATCTAGGCTTTAAGCGCCTTCCGGTTCTACTTCCCTTGGTTTCTAATTCTGTAGCATAGAACCTTTTTCTCTGGTGCGACTCCGGCGGCCAGGTTGGTGGACCCTGCTTGTCCCAGGGTTTTTGCGTCCGGTTCTTCGATCTCTGGTTCCGGTTTTCCGCAATATCATTAAAGATCTTTACTACCTTCTTGTTTGGGTCTTGCCAAGCAGGCTTCTGTATACCGTGAGCTCGAGCCCTGATTTTTACATAGTTGTATAATCCGTATGTTATACAGCCTCCTAGTATAAGCTGATACGACCAAGATTACAAATGCTACCACCCCTCAGGATGTCACACAGTATATCATTACATATTCTGTAAAATCCGAATTTCGTCACCAATGGGATTCAAACTCTTGTCCTACCACTTGGGAGTGCGACAACTTACCAACTTTACTAAGTCACCACACCCTTAATAGAAAAGTTTTTAAATAGGCATATAAATTAAAAATATACTTTTATATTCTGTAATTATATAATATATAACTTTTAATTATATACACAAATTAAAATATATTTTAGTTAGGTTTTGTTTTCTTTTTATATATTTTTTTATCTGTAGTTTAGATCTTCATGTTAAAACTAGATTCTGGTAGTATTAGCATAATAGCTAATAGGTGTGTAGTTACCAGCCTATAACCAATGAAAAAAAAGGCCTTAATATTGAAGAAAGGCCAAAAACTACTAAGGCAAATCACATCTGAGCATTTGCTTGAATAGACTTTTGTTGTAAATTAGGTTGTTGATGTTATAGAAGAAGTTCTTAAAACTTCAAATATAACTAAATTAAAATAAACAAAAACAGAATAGCCAAATTAAAAAAAATATATATATCTCTATAACCATATATTAGTCATCTATTTATATAAACTAAGGCTTTAAATACCTAATTTGAATCACATAATTATCAAACATCAAACTAAACCATATGTATATCTTTAACATTAATCAATTTAAAAAATCAATATATAACTATATATAGCTATTTATATCTTTATTCTATAAATGCGACAAATAACTGCATCACACTTAAAATAAAAACGAATGCGATGTCTTTTTTTATATAAATAATTAAAATTTTAAATGCAATTTTGCTTGCTTTATTTACAGTCAAAACATTCCGGCAGCTAAAAGAGGCAAAGCTTTTATTCTTAATATCAAACAAGTAATAGATATTTTATAATCTATTTAAGTTTTATTCAGTTTATCAAAATGGAACATACCTCCTTGCATTATAAAAAGTGCTGGCATAGAAGCGAAGCTAGCTTCTAGCAACGATTTTCTATAAATTTGTGCGTGAACGGGTGTCGGACAAATTTTCAAACCGATAAGCATAATTGATTATATTGATAAACAATCAGAATGTCCAAATAAATCATTCAATTGCTATTCATGCATAATTACCCAAATTTTTCTAGTTTTATTCATTTTATGAAAATTTATCTATAAAAATAAACATTAAATTTGAAAACCAAGACTATGCCAGGAATGCAAGAGAGCTTAGCAATGTCTTTAAGGTTAAGTCGGTAAATTAATATCTGGGGTTATAAAAAAACAAGTCTATCACATCTTACATCAATAATCGTTAATAATATCGGAATTCCCATGCAATAAGGAAACCTTCCACAGCCGATTGAATCTTGATCCTGGCAATACGACATTTCAACCTTCTACATAATTAATAAAAATGTACATAAGTTTACACAATTTACACTCATCACCATAATAGAGACACTAACCAACACTGATTTTTGCCTTTTCTGGCAAACTATCCAAGAAATCAAACAATATTTCTTGCGGTAATGTCCTGAATCCTCGAGTTTTTGAAACTGGACCGAAGTTATTGTTAATAAATCTCATTGCCCGTTTTTTTAAAGCACGAGCACCGGCCACAGAAGCACAATGATAAATTCTAGCCACGTTTTCTGTATCAAATTTCATTTGCAACCGAGCACAGCAAAGTGACGTAAGCCGCGAAATAAGATACATATTTCCCAACACCATAAGATCGGCAATGGTATCGACAGGAAGGCTCTCGTCGAGTGTATCTGTGTAAAGGAAGTAAATAAAAGCTTGAACCGTAGAATATGGCTCCGGAATAATCAGAGATTTAGTATGGGATTCTGTCATTCCGGAATTGCACATATTAGCAAAATGAGGCCATCTGGCTAGAAGTATAATTTTGTGAACATAGATTGACGGTGAATTTTCTTCATTTGATCGCACGATGAAATCTGACGTATTTTTATCGTTCATCAATTGTTGAAAATCCCACCCGATGGTTGGTGGTGGGATGTTGGAAATCCCATATTCTTGAAGATCGATGGAAAGAACATTAGAGAAATATTCGTCAGATTCCTTTTCATCGACTCCAAAGAGGAAGAATCTCGAGCTATTTTCTGCCATGGCAAAACAATGCCAGTTTCCTTGAACAAGTCGATCACCATCTTCAAATTTATGCCAATGAAATGAATCCAAGTCTAACGACCAGACTCCAATAGATACATCTTGTGCTCCATGTTTAATGCATTGAGTAACTACCACGACCAATTGATTTCCATACATTTGGGCAAAATGTTCTCCTGCATTCATTTCAGGACCGGAATCACTTGTGATCTCGATTTTGGACACATGTTTTGTGTTAATGTCCATGATAACTAGTAACTTTTCTCTATCCATTTCCTCGTTATATCCTCCATAAATGTAGAGCCGATTCCGAAAAATAAAAGAAACATGTGAATGTCTTGGAACTAATGAGATTGGAGGTTCCCATGTCCAAGTTTGTAAATTTAAACAATTAACTTCAGAAGATACTGCACCAGCAGCCTCTTCACTATCAGAATAACCTCCCACTATATATAACTTATCATTATGGATCGTGGCGGAATGCTTTTTACGCCCTTTAGGATAATGTCCAAATACTTCAGGACGTTCCCATGTCATAGACTTTAGATCAAGAATGACTATATCATCACAATATTGATCTTCATCGTCTGTGCCACCAAAGATAATCAATTTATCCCGATTCCACAATGAAGCTGAATGGTTAATCCTTTTCGACGGACGAACACCTTTCAAATAAATCACATCCTCCCACTTCATTTCAGCCACATTTAATCTATATAAGTCATTATAAACTTCATCAGTATACATGTGGAATCCGCCAAATACATAGATATAATTTGGCAGTTGACCAGGATCATTGCCTTCAGGGACGACTGTCACTGATGCATTAACTAGGCAACTTAAAGAAACTCCTGTGGCTTTAGTCGGATATGGGCTTGAGGGTGAAAAAAGTGACGAGCTTCTATCACCGTGGATAAAGTTGGGCGTTGTGGCAAGTGTTGAAGAAGAGGAAGAAGGCGAAGAAGTATCTTGAGGCGAGACAGAAGTTTCTGAAAACATATTCTTTTATATTCACGAAGTGAAACTGTGAATAAAGAAGACCGAGTTAATTAGACCGTATACAAGGGTAATGAATGTAGTATCTCGTGCTTTTGCAAAATATTGTCGCAAAACAAAAATTGTCGGCGTCTTTTTGTACTTTAAAAAAATTTTTGCGAGCCAATTTATTAACTTGTTTTCCAGTTTGTTGAATCTTTTGTCATACCGATAAATTCGTTACGAGAGGATTTTTTGATTGTCACACGGTATGATGATCATCATGACACCTAGGTGCAACATAGATTTCATTGGTAAACATCGACGCGTTATTTTCAATCAACGTGTTAGGCCACGTGGGTCACTTTTTTTAGAGAAGTTAAAATTTTTTTAAAATTACATATAAACTTTGTTGCGATTAGTGATTCTACCCAAACCCATTAGTTTGGGATTAGGTAGAATCCCAAATAGTATTTACTATGTTTTGAAAAATATCTCTAATTTGCCGTAATGTCA